CATGCTCTCGGTTGGGGGAACTCTCTATAAGACCAAGCTCCAAAGCGGGAGGCTATAAATTTGAAGGCAAAGCCAGGTCCTCAGCTTGGCCGTTTGATCTCAACTTGAAGGAGCTACGGCTCCTAAGACTACTGGATGCAGACGTCGTTCCTGCTGCCGAACTCTGTATGCAGGTGCGCGATCTAGGACAAATCATCGGTCAGCGAGGTAATTCGTCTGATTGGTCTGTTTTCAACATGACGTTTCCACACCCACCCTGCGAAAAAGGCCGTGCTGAATATCTAGCAATAGAGCTGGATGGCTCTCCTTTTGCACACATATAGCCCTATTTCCTTGACGCTGCTTTCAACTATTCGTTGCTTTCCGGACTAGCACGTTCCGCGGATGAGAAAAGATTTACAGCCGTTATCACTGAAGTCACTCGGGGCGTGTCAGGGATGTCGTATTTGTCGCGGAGAGAGCTCCCTTCCCGTCGCTCGGTGCGGCTTCGCTCATTCATTGAGTGGTCAGAAAAGGGCCTGCGGCACGCCAAATTTCACACGCCTAATACGCCCCTCTGACGACTGGATTTGATCTTATATGTTCATCTACAGAACTAGACCTAATCTCAGGAATTATGTAAACCTCCCGCTTACGAGATCGTTCCTTCAGGGACGTTACGACGCATAGTTTCTGAAGAAGAAGAAGCAAAGAAGTAACTGCTTATCCCTTCGTGTCCTTTGCTCCCGTATAGCGCTTTTTTTGTTCCAAAGGTCAGCTTGGCGGAGATGACGTAACAAACCGATATCATTGTAAACTGTCAACTTTTGCCCTTGAGAACGAAAACTGAGAAACCAATGCAATATATGATTCTTTCTAAATGAAAGTGCTGATTTCGTTGCGGTGTTTCTATCGGTTTGCAATTCTATTTCCTTCTGGACTGTTCAGTTGCTGAACTAGTATTTCAGGGCGTAGCGAAAAGTAGATCATACGCTATGAAAGGCCAGCGTCAATGCTCCTGTCTTCTCTTACACTCCTTATCCCTGAGACGGAGTAGGCGTGGCATTTGAACATGATATAGAATGGGTCGTGGGTATTTCAGTTCGAGATAACTGTCATTTTGTTCAGTGTTGGACAGAGACGTGACCACAGTTGTGTCAAAATGGAAATATCCCTCCAGAAGCACAGCCAGCGCCACCTTTAGTTGAAGTACGCAGCCCCGCCTACCACAACTCAGGGATTTCTAGTGTATGTTGCTGATTGAACGGACGGCATACTGGAGACAAACTGTACAGTCACCTTCTAGAACAGCACCTTTTCCCATTCGTTCCCTGTGCGAGATGAATTGGTCCGCAGTTGCAGTGGTGTACCACTTGGTCCGCTTAAAAGTGCACGGAAACGGGGCTGGAGGGTTGAGAATCCCCGGCGCCGTCTCCATAATACACCCACGCTGTCGCACTGCACCCCATAACTTCTGATTAATCTCTACCCCTGAATGCGTGTTTCGCTGCGGGATTTTGGTATCGATGCAAGTGCTGCACATTGATGGGGTAAAGTTAATATATGGACAGTACTCGTGTACCGCTACCCTACAGCTCGTTCTTGTGCATTTCTGAGCGGAGAAAGTGGTGCTGTACTGGAGCAGCGGACCAACTCGCCTCGCAGATGGCGGGGGTCCTCCCAGGAAATGCGATAAGTTTGTCTTTAGTAGAAACTCGCCAAGAAAGAATCTGCTCCCAGACTTCTGTCTACCATATGGACTATCCTGAAGGAGAAACTGACTTTTCGTGGATTTTTCGTAAATTAGCTATTTTCTTTTCTCGCATAATCTCTTTCATCAATCGGTTGCTTAAGCTTCACCACAGTTCGTCGAAATTCGCTTTGAAACCCGCGCTTATGGTATGGGCTGGGTCACTCAGATCAGTGCGTGTTCCTATTCACGCGCCATTCTTTCTTAATATGAGACAAGTAGGAGCACCTGGATGAGGTGTAAGCTGAGCCGGAAGTAATAGGAGCGAGAGCTGAACCAGATGGAATTCTTCTCTTACCCACAATGCTAACAATGCTAAAACGGTTATAATCACAATTTTGCTCAACTTTGTAGTAAAGTCCTGAATCAGGCTGCCACATGCATCTGCAGCTCCACAGATGGTGATACTGTTGAGTATGAATGAGCGTCAGGAATTATCCTTTGGACATATTATTCGCTCGGATAATCGGTGAGAAAGTCTTCCTTTCTACGGCCCGTCGCAATCAGTCAGCATACGTTCCGCTTGGCCGCCTGGCCGACGTCGTTAGCATGATGCAGCTGCCCATCATCGAGCTACTCTCCCATGTATTTCCAGTCCAGTTAACACATGACGTTCCTGAGAGAAGAGTAGGGGTCGCACCGTGTTATCCTAATGAGGTATGCCAGTCGTGAGATGCGTAATAGTTGTCGGTTCATGGGCGGACCTGCTTTTGAGGGTGAGATCTGGGCTTAGGAAGGCGCCCTCTGGAATGAGGGTGAAGTACTCAAGATTCGCACTCAACTTTGAAGGTACATTAGAGCTTCAGTATGAAACCCATAAACTTTCTCTGCCTTGTTCTTGCTCTATGAAAACTTTCTTAGTTTTCTGCACAGTCTTCGTCAAATTTAGTTTTGTTGATTACTTCAGAGAAGCTGAAAATTTTCAGAGTTGTTAAAATCCTTTTCTCCGTTACGAAGAGCGCGCAGATTCAGGTCTATTTTTTGAATACAAGGCGTTTCGCATTCCGCTATTCCTTTTTCTGGTTCTCCTTTCACGAATGTTTTTTTGTTCTCAACCAAACGATATGTATTGATTAGCCTGTGTTTGGAAACGGATAGAATATTGAAATTGGCATACAACACTAAGAGAAAACACTTTTTGTGTTTGGAAATTTACCTTTTCTAATTGTTATGTTTTGGAGTTGCAGTGAGGTTGTACCGGCATAAGAGGGGAGGAACGGATTGGATGGAGGGGGGGGGGGGAGGAGTTGGTAGCGACGATTGTGTAACCTATGTAGCACTCCTTTCCATAAGGTGGAGACAAACATATAATACTCAGTCGTATCAAATCGAACTTATGTGGTGTCCAGCTTCTCATAAAACCTTGGCAGTATTGTAAACTTTGCACTTTTTTCCGTTCCTGACCTTTCCCACATTCGGAGTTTTCAGTAGTTCCCCTGTAATTCCGTCAAAGCGCTAGGGTGTCGGGGTGTTTGGCGGTAGAGAGTGCAACATCTGCACCTTGAGCTATGTTTAGACCTCTGAGGACGACTATTTGTCCACCTAACAACCTATTTGGCTGAATAACTTAAAAACTGCGAAGAACTCATGTGGAAGTTTTCCCCCCTTCCTATCCATGTTCGCTATAAAGCAAAAGTCTCCCAATGCCCCAATTCTTTCTTCACAACTGTGAATGAAATCATTGTACTCACTAATTACTCTTCTCTCGGGCGAGTCTGTTTTAGCTCGTTAGACTGCCACTTCAGTTAAATGGGACCTCAGGCAAGATTAATTAGCAGGATATTATAGCCACAACGGTGTTGGTGTAATAATTACGAAGGTATGAGGGGCCAAACGGAGGCATCACCCTTCTCATGTGCTTCTTTGCCTTCCTAATAAAGGCACTACTACCACAGAAAGCACGGTAATTGTTACGTACTCCGTGGATCCAACGCCTTAAAATTAACGTCTCGAAATCGGCAGGTTTGGGTCGTTGGCGGAGAAAACGACGTTCAAAAGAGGTTGATCCATACAGCTCGCTGGATAGGTCGGTAAGACATTTTCACAGTTCGAACAACAACTTCAGCCGCACTAGCTGACATCTTTGGTGGACGGTTGCATTCAATTCCAGAAGAACCAATTTTTTGATCAGTTATGGGCAGTGGGCACGATTGCTGGAGGATGGCGGTTGTTGTCAGTCTCATTTATGGAGCCGGCCCCACCCTTGCGAAGGGATATGTAGCAAGAGAACCGTAATTCGCCGCGAAAGTGGGCGTCGCGTGCGACGTCGCGATTGCTAATGACGACGATTTTAGGTGGTATTAGCCGAGAATAGACAACGTATGACCTAAAACAGACATATATGTCTACGATGTCCTTGTCTACTTGAAATCAGATGCTCCAAGGAAAGGATAGTGCAAGTCAAGG